TAGCTGTGCTTGGGATTGCCCTGACCCAGGTTTAGGACCTTAAACTTTGCATTGTTGAACTTCATGAGGTTGGCATCAGCCCACCTCACAAGTGTGTCAAGGTCCCTCTAGATGGTATCCCTTCCCTCCAGCGTATCAACCGAGCCACACAGCTTGGTGTCGTTGGCAGACTTGCTGAGGGCGCACTCAGTCCCACTGTCCATGTGTCCTGGGTTCAGCTACAGCAGTCATTTTTTCTCCTTCTTAGTAGCTGGTGCAGTGCTGTGTTTTTGACTTTCAGTCTGGGAACAACGCTGATAACACTGATGGTTTTAGTTGTTGCTAAGTAATGTTTACTCTGAACAAGGACTTTCTCAGTCTCATGCTCTGCCAGGGAGGAGGGCAAGCTGGGAGGAAGCAGAGACAGGACACCTGACCCAAACTGGCCAAAGGGATATTCCACACCACAGCACGTCATGCCCAGTATATAAACTGGGGGGAGTTACCCGGAAGGCCCAGATCACTGCTCAGGTCGGGCTGGGTATCGGTCGACGGGTGGTGAGCGGTTGTGTCCTCTCCCCTTGTTATTTCCCTTATCATTACTGGTGGTAGCAGTAATGGTTTGTATTATACCTTAGTTACTGGAGTGCTGTTATCTCAACCTGTGGGAGTTACATTCCTCCGAATCTCCTCCCCCATCCCTCCGGGAGTGGGAGTAGGAAGGAAGGTGGGGGGCGAGGGGGAGTGAGCGAGCGGCTGCGTGGTTCCAAGTTGCCGGCTGGGCTTAAACCACAACACCATGTCATTGACAAAGATGTTGAACAATGCTGGTCCCAATTCCCAATACCAATCCCTGAGGAACAACAGTCATCACTGGTCTCCACTGGTCTCTAATCTTAGGAGCAGCCAGTTTCAAAATGATGGAAGAAGTTGCAGAGTGTTATAGACGTGGTTAAGAGGAAAAAAAAAAAAGAATTTTTGTCTTAATATCATTAATGTAGGAGGTGCTGTGGCTTTAGAGGAAATCAAATTTCATTGACAGTTGCTTACCATTTCCACAATTGATATTTTTACCAGTTCTCTTCGCACAGTTTATATATCTTGTATGTCTTCTTCAAATTTTGTTGAACAAAGAGTGTTTTACAAAATACAGTTTTTGAGTTGATGAGCTTAACATCCCAGTTGATGAGCTTAACATCCCAGAAGCTGGGCAGAGCAGTGTATACTTTTATAGGAAACTACTTCATGGCTGTTGTAGAAAGCCAATATAGTCTGTGATTAGAATCTGAGAGTAGAGTAGCAGTTGTCTTTGGCAACTTTTTATTTTCTACTTGTATGGTTAGCTCAGCATTATTTAGGCAAAGAAGGGCTAGGAGTGCATTGCAGATTGTTACCACTTTTACAGAGTTCTGTACAGTTCCTAGGCTGGAGGAAATTCTGTTTGCCAGTAATTACACGCAGGTTCCAGTGTCTTGCTCTAAAGTAACTGAGATGCTGCTGATGGGAGGAGAAATGTATATGAGCATCTGTAGTCAGTGATCTTAGAAAAGTGCTGGGGAAGTGACAGCCTCCACTTTTAGATATATTCATTTAAAGCATTTTAACTACTGGTTTCTCTAACTGAGATTCAGTGCTCTATGTTTTTGCATTTAGGTTTGGGAACATGGGTGTGAGCCTGGGTTCAGTGCTAGAGAAACTGGTCCAGGACAGAATTCTTTTCTATTAATTACTGATACATAAATAGGACTATGACAAGTTTATGTACTTTACTATCACATTGTCCCTTGACAAGTTATAACTGTAAATCTGTTTTTTATCTTTGTGGTTACTGTGGAGGGAGGCTCACATGGCTTAGCCCTGGCAAATGACCTAGTATCTGCTATAGCTGCTTCAGGCAGTCTGAACTTGTTCAGTGGTCATTTCAGTGGTGGAAGTAAGTAGTTCTTCACAGCCTCTCATGATTTGTTTTGATTGTCATCCCTTGATATCTTTTGGCCTAAGTTAGAATAGAAACTTTTTAACTTGTAAATCCTTGTCAGAAGCCTGTAACATTCATCATCATTGTTGTATTTCCTGCAGTGTTTGTGCAGGTTTCCTATGCATTCTTAAAATTAGGAAGAATTTCTTTGTACAGCACCTTTGTACCTTACCTGCCATTAGAAGATCTTGGCCTGTGGCTTGAGCTCTGGCTACCCAATCTTGCCCTGTGCTTGTGTATACACAAAAATGACCCAAAACCTTTTATGGAATCAAGAACGTGAAATGAAGCGAACCAAAAATAAGGGGCCCAGAAGATTTTTATAGTAGAAACTGAACTGTGAAGTGTGTTTTGTTGACACTGATGTAGAATGCAGAGAGTATGGTAATTGTGTGGTGAAGCTCTGTGCAAAAAGGAAAATGGCAAATACTGAGAACTGCACAGTGAAGGGAGCAGGAGAAATTTCACCATTGCCAGAGGCAACGCTGCAGTGCCATGCTTGAGAGAGGGGCCTTTCAGGTACAGTGCTGGCTGAAACACCTGGAATTGTGAACAAAAAGTTCTAGATTTTGAGCCCTGTTCTGTTCAGTGGCACAGGACTTTATAAATTCTTTTTATTCAAAAATATTAGCTCAATTAAATACCCAAATAGCTCACCAATTTTGTGGAAAAAAAAAAAAATAGAAAATGTTGATCTCCCTAAATTGGTCTAAAAGGGATAAAATATGATTGTGTTTTATATCTATGGTAATTTGTGTTAGAGCCACAACCAGTACCTAGCATTCATTGGAAACAGAGGAACAGAGGGCTTAATTACTTAAGACAGTTTTGCTTGGCTGCAGTCTTTTTGCCTGCTTTCCTAACACAGTTTACAGCTGTGCCTGGTGCTGTGACAATTTCCATATTTCAGTCTATTAAAACAACTGTAAGTTTTTAATATTCTTTCAGTATTGGCTGACATGATGGGAAGAGTAAAATCTACAGTCCGTACAAACTGAGAAGTAGTGCTGTTCTGAAGTTTTTCTAGCATGCTTTAAAGGTGATGCCCTTCAGAGTACTGAAGATTTAATTGTGTCTTGGTTACAAGAGTGTTTAAAGTTTGGACAAAAGACCCTGTCATTGCTGTAGCTGTCAAGGTGCCAACATCTTCAAGATAAAAGCATTCTTTTCTTTTTTTTTTCCCCCATTGCCTAATAAGCAGGGGGAGTGGATCCAATGTGTACTGGCCATTGCATGTCACTGCTGCCAGCTAGAGCTAAAATACATTGTTTAGTCATCATGGTGTTCTGTAAGTATGAATGTCAGCACAATTGGAGCGTGCAGGGTTTATCTGGACACTCTAGAAAACTAGTGTTAGTTGAAGAAGAGAGTTTTTCAGTGAAGATAATATTCTTGGTAGATTTTCAACTCCTAACTTTCTAACCTCCCAACTTGTTGGGATACTTGAATACTTGAATTTTTATCTGCAGTGTATTCTAGGGGAAAACTACATTGTAAGTAGCGTTTGCTCTTTTGAAACAAGAACTGATTGTTAAATATTGTTATCACTGGCTGGTAGAATAACTAAAACTGGTAGCCTGTGAGGAAGGTTTTACTGAAGGTGCCAAGTAAGGGGTAGCACTCAAATAAAAAAGACTTGAAACTTTTTTAATTTGTTGGTCTGATGTGAGAGAATGTAGCCCTATGAGAATGCAGTACAGTCATTTTCTAGTGTGTTCTGTTAATTAAAATTCAGGAGGCATTTTCCTGTTCCCTGGCTAAACCGAAGTTCTTGCTGTGCTTTTGTTCTGTATCTGAATAGATGTTGTTGAAAGCCAAAGTGTAAGGGAGAACTTTTCAAAGACAGCATGACTCACTGAACGGTGAGAATATCACAAAGTGTACAGGCAGCTGTGTTCACAAGACTGTTCTAAACTGACAGTTAACTTTTCAGTTGAAGGTAAGCATGAAGGTTTTTAACTGTTGAAAAATCTGCAGTAACTTAATTCTAATATAAGATACTCCTCAAGGTATTTGAACAGATTGGCAAGCAGTGAGATGAACAAAAAAGGGTTGAGTGAATGACAGAAATGGTTGATACGGGGTAAATTAGAAACAGTTTGCTGTAGCAAAGTTACTGTGAGTATATGAGTTCATCGGACTCACAGTGAAGTCTGACATTTTAGATACCTGATAAAAAATGTTAAAATAAAATGGAAGTTAATATCTAATAATATTTAACTTTATTTTCTGTCTTAGAGTTGTTTGTTGGGTTTTGTTATTTCGTTTTGTTGTTTGTTTGGGGTTTTTTTAAGAATTAAAAAAAAAAAAGAGATGATAAAAGAACTTTGGTTGTAGAGTCACCCTTAAACTAAGCACCTCCAAAATGGTTCTTAGATCTTGAAATAAAAGTCTGTTGTGGTATCATAGATACACAAGTTTTCATTTTGTTGGTGTTTATGCTGCATTGTTATGAACTGTGGCTACAGGATGTAATTTATGTGCTGTATGCAAGTAAGTTAGAATGGTTACATATTTTGAAATGTAAATACAGCTCATTACTAAATATTGCTTTTATTTATTTTATTTTAAATAAACAACCCCAAGTTGAGCACTGATTTGACTATGTGAATTAGATTTTTAGTCTTTCGTCATCATTTGCATTTCCATTATTACTATTTAACTGCCTTTGTGAAGTGTTATGACCAGGGAAGAAGGTTACAGAGAAGAATTTAGCTATGACAGGATGCCAACTTTGGAGCGGGGAAAACAAGAGAATGGAAATTATATACCAGATATCAAATCCAGTGACCTCCAGCTATCAAAAAGGCTGCATCCGTGCTTTAGTTACAAAACGTGGATCTTTTCTTTGCTGATGGGAGTAAGTACTTTAAATGATATAAACTTTAAAAATGTAGGTGAGGTCTTAGTGCCCACTAATCTGTTCTGTTCCATATTGTTTGGGGACTCAGAATTCCATCACTGATAGTATTGAATTTAAATGTTTGTACAGAAAGGAGCATATTCAGCAAATTTGTAATGCTTAATCGATGAATGGTATTCTTTGGATAATTGCACTACTCAAAGATCCTATATGAAGGCTGTTTTTTATCTTTATTTTAATTATATAGCATAAACAGAGAATAAGCGTGGTAGTGGTAAATATCAACCCATGTGTATATATAAGCAGTGCCCGTAGGTAGAGGATGTAAAGTATCCTGATCATATGATTCTTTTCACATATTTGTAACTGTTACAAGTACTTTACTTGCCATGATAGTATTGGCATTAAATTAATACGGCATTAAAATATATATGGTACTTATTTGCCACATTAATCTTTCAGGGTTCCATAGTCATGTAGAATTTGGTAGAATCTTCAAGTAGTGAGATATATACTTGTGATTCTTACATGAACGTCATGGTGATGTGAGTTTTTGTGTCACTGCTAGAATCATAGGACTTGCCTGTACATCATATGCTTCTTCATGTTCTGAGCCAAGTTAATTAAACTTCATTATAGTAATTAGAATTTGATCTTTTTTTCCTGTGTTAGCTTGTGTGTTTTGAAGAGTAATTTTTATTAAGATCTGAAATATTTCACTGTTAAAACAGTAATTACTTGGTTTTGCACAGTGAATAAAAGAATTGCCGTGTTTTCATGGACTCAGCTGAACATTTTTTCCTTTCTGTCCATCTGCAAAATTTCAGATTTCCCTTCAGATTTAGTTACATAAAAAGAGAGCAAAAAAAAGGAGCTGCTTTTTTGCATTAAATTTTTACTTAATTGTCAAAAAGGACAACTGATTGTAATTAGCTTTTTCCTTTTTACTGAGTTGTTGCAAATGATTGGAGACACTGATGTTTAATGATAATTTGCTGAAAGTCATATTATACTGAAGTCATATTATTAAGAAGCATGAATGTTATGGATAAATGAAAATACGATGTTATTAATAAACTAATCCAATCCATTCCAATTTAATTTTTCTCCCAAGTAGTTAATCTCCCTCAGCTCTTCTGAAAGACAGTGTCCAGAAAGCCTGTATGCTGAGCAACAGAAGTCACAGTGAACAGAACTCTACTTCGGGGAACAGTTTCAAACTCTAGAGTGACATCAATGTGGTTGCTAGTATGGGCTGTTCTTGTGTTGGAACAATTCACTGTGCTTCAAGCACAGTTTCGAGTTCTGTTCTATAAATACTGTTCCGCTCTGCCAGAATTCCCTCTGGGTGTGCATACACACACACACACACACACACACACTCTCCTTATTTTCTGTCATTTTTTGACAAGGACTTTTTAAAGACCCCCCCCCATAATTTTGTAACACAAAAAAAAAAAGCCTATATGAAAGAGCCATTCTGTCTCTCATCTTCCCCAGCCACATCAAAGAAATGCCTACTTAGAAATGACAAGCAAAAAGAAAAATGTTAGTAGACTACAATAATGATTTATTGCTGAGACTGTAAGTCTGATAGGAAATAAACAGAAGAGTTAGCAAGGGAACAAGAGTTGGAACATTTATGGGTGAGCCACTGGAGCAAAGCAGGAGGAGAGTTTGGGGAAAGGCAGCATGTAGGTGGAAAAGTCTTCATTAATGTATCATAATATTATTTATGTTACTGTGTTCTAGTTGGTAACTGCCCAGCTGCCCATATGCATAATGAATGTTGGTGGAGTCAAGCAGGGAATGCAAACTAGAGGCTTAGCTGAGGTTTCTGAAACATTTTTACCCCTGAATACTGCAGTTACCTTTTGAGCCTTTTATTAGGTATTTGCCAAGTCAGGGCACAATGCTTGATCCAGACATGATCATATTGTTCAGTATTAAGTCCTGGTAACCAGCAAAGCATCATATCCAGAACTCAGCATGTTTTGATATTTTTCTTCAAAATTATTCACAGAAAGACTGCATTGCTAAATGTTTATCAGTAGCTTAATTTGAAAGAAATTACTGATTTCTATCTGACCAGTTGCTTTTTAAAAAAATATTTTATTCATACTGATTTATTTGTTGCTTTGCAGACTTGCCTCCTTATCACTTCTGGATTTTCACTATATCTGGGAAATATTTTTCCATCTGAAATGGATTACTTACGTTGCGCAGCAGGTTCAGTAAGCATTCTTAATTATTTGCTGTGGCCATTTGACAGCAAAATCAATAGTAAATAATTTTTGTGGGTTTATTGTCTTTTATTCTGTCTGTCTTTTTACTGCTAACTTTCTTCATGGAAGTTTTAATTCTATTCATAAAATGAGTTTTCATCTCATGGTTAAAGGAATAAAGGTTGTCATAAGGACAACTGGTTTGTGCTCCCATTTTTGTTAACCAGCTAACCACTGGCATGCAGTAGTTAACTACATGAATGTTTTTTCTGTGCTTGATTCTAAGAAAGTTTTACAAGTTTTTGCATTGTAATGTATTTGGGGAATTTCATGGCTAAATACTGTCAGAATGTATTTCAGATTGCATTTCAAAGTATTGCTTTTTCAGTTTATTTTGCTATAATATCCAAGTACTGAAGCAGACTAAAGTTCTCTCGAATATTATTATTTTATTAGTAAAATGTGCATTAAAGATGTCTGATATTTTCCAAAATCCAGTATTTTTTACTATATTTTTAAGGACTCATTTTTTTTTCTTATTGTATTATATATGCTTAATCTACACTTCAGATCTGTGTGCGTAAGATGAGTCTGATGTACATGCTTTGTTCATTGCAGGATTCTGTTCTGTCATTGTTACTTTCACAACTTGATTTGCAGGTTTGTTTTAAGTTAGGTGTTGTTTACTTTTAAGTAAACTTAAGTTTACTTAAACAAGTCCCAGGAGCTGCTCTGTGAATGAGTTGCTGCTTATGTTTCTGCTAGAGGTGTTAGAATAAAATTGAAGCACTTTTTGATGTTAGTATCTTCACTATTCTCTACAACATTAGTTACCGAGATGTCTCTTTTTCTGCCCCAAATCTTCTCTCTTTGAACTTTGTATTTATTGAGAATTTCCAAAGATCTGACAGATGCATAAGGTTATCACATTGGGTTTGAACGCCTTGCTGTGGATGAAGATGTGCACATTTGGCTATCTGTATGTAAGCAAGGTGTTACAGCTCCTACTCCAGATATTGGAATTGGATATTGGAGTCAATATAGTTATAAGAGCCTAGAGAACTGTATAGCCAGCTGGCCACTAAGTATCTGTTCAGCATGAGCTGAATTGCTCTCCAGACTTGTTTAACCATCTTGCTAGTAGTAAGATTTGGTTGCCTAAACATAGTCATGTAGTATTCTAGAGACCCTAGGGTATTCAAGACATAAAAAGATGTTTTAATTATGTTAAATACAGGTCATTTAGGAGGTAGGAAAGTGTTGCCAAGAATTTTAGATGTTGATATCGATCTAGTTATAGTGCTACATTGTTAAGTCATTAGTGTTCAGATGTGTGAAAAGATGTCTGTAAAGACATCTGTAAAGAAATGCAGCATTTGTTACATGATTCATTATTTAACATGAAACATTTATAATATTTTTAGTTGAATATATTTTTGTTTTGCTTATTAGAATGTTGTAACTTTATGTATTTGTGTAAGATAAGAATTGGATCTGTAATGGTACCATATCTATTGTGGTGGGCAATAGCTCAGGGGTGAACTTGCTTTGTAAAACTTTTCACTTATGCATGGTTTTTCCATTTAGCTCTGCCCTTAAGTTTAGAAGCACAGTTCCTAGTGAACATAGTGGAGATCCCAGGCACAATTCTTAACGTGTAATTTGACTCAATAGATCAGTTTTTACAAAGTTCTTCAGAACTTTGTTGAGACTGACCAAATTTTAGCTTACACAACCATGACTTTGTTTAAAAAAATCTGGCAGCCCAGTTTAGGAGTAGCAGTGTTTTCCTTCTGCTCGCAGATCTCTAGGCCTTCTAGAGTTAATTTAAACTAACAAAGGCATGAAAAGCCTCATGAAAGACTTTCTTTTACTCATCACATTGTTCTAGGTAGCTAGTCAAAACTGAGGGATATGGAAGGCATATCTGAACTTCTTGTAATCCTCATATACCACTGTTTGTAATTAATGAGCTCAGACGAGTGAAACTTTCCTCAGTGCTTGTGATCTTCTGTTTCTCTAACTGAAATATGAATTCGGGCCAAATAAAACGTATGTATAGAAATATGTATAAAAACCTTTGTGCAGAATATCCCACTAGTCTTCTCTTTTCATTTTTCCAGTGTATTCCTTCAGCAGTTGTGAGCTTTGCTATAGCAAGGAATAAAATTAATGTGGTAAGTATATTTTACTGTCAGTTATCTCCCCCCTCTCCCCAGTGGTTAAAATGAGAAAGAAACCCATTCTGAAACTGTTTTTCAGATACCCAATTTTCAAATTTTGTTTGTCTCTACATTTGCTGTTACAACAACATGTTTAATTTGGTTTGGATGCAAACTTGTCCTCAATCCATCAGCTATAAATGTAAGTTACTGAAAAAATTCCTAATTATGCTACATTTATCTTTGTTAAAAAAAGGTGGGGGGAGGTGGGGGAATATCACATGTAATTACGTTGTTGTCAATACACTGATATTCCTGCTTTAGTCTCTGAGGAGACATCATCTAGCAATTACTTTTCTGAGTAAGGCGAGATTGGAAACTTGACATCGGAGATGGAAACTCACATGGCTAAAAGGCACATGGTGGAGCTACCTTAGAGGAGATTAATATGGAAAGAACTTTCCTGTCTTGCATTCAAAGTTCAAAAACATGAATTAAATTGTCAAATGTGATCCAGTTTTATTCGCTGACTTTATGTTTCTTGACTATAGTAAGTTTTGTTGTGGTTTGTTTGGGTTTTTTTGGGGGGTGTTTTTTTTAAAGAATGGTGTCAGAAGAAAAAAATGAAAATGAGTTAGTAGCTCATCTGCAGATTAGCCAGCTTTTAGGGCTGAATTTTACTGAAATGAGATATCCAAACAGTGCTTCTTCTAGGACATTTAATCATCAGATTAAGTATAATCTTTTCCTGGATTTTCTTTAATGAGTAGTTTTTCTTGTGAGGCCACATCAAAAGAAACTTCTGATGAACAATTTTCGTATACATCATCAACAAAGAGAATGCAGCAGTTATGTCATTTGAAGCACACATAATTCATGCTGAGAAGAGTTCACTGGATTTGAGTCACAACCTTTGGTAGTCTGAGCAAATAGTAGAACTATGGTGTGGTTTTTGTTGTTTCTTTTCTGTTTTCTTTTTTTTTTTCCGATGATAAAATGTTCTGAGACCTCTGTACTACTTAAGAATGTTACATGTATGAGTAAATAATGTAGTGATAGGTACTAACATTATTGTTATTGAATATTCGTAATAGACTATCACAGAAGAGCAGTACTCCATCACTGTCATACATTTCATATAAAGGTTAATGACTGCTCTCATGTGCTGTTGTTCAGTTCTCCCATCATATCAGCTGTTATTGATACTAAATGCTCAGCAGTAATGCTTCCTTATAATAATATAGCAAATCTGAATTAGTAACAAAAGGCTTTTCTCGTAGGAAAACAATGCAGAGATAGAGTTTGCTTTGGAGTTACTTGTGCTATTTTAATAACATCACAGAAGCCGAACTTTTAAATTAACTGTGTTAACTTTCCCTTAGAAAGTGCAGTATATTAGGCCAATATTTACAAACCTGTTTTTTAAGTTAGATACCTAAGTTTAGCTTCATATGTGTCTGTGCAGCTGGCCTCATTTTCAGAGAGATGGGGTGCTGTGGAGATTTAGCACTCTGGACAGTCAGATCACTTAATTCAAGTAGTACTGGCTTTATATGTGGACAGTTTTGCCCTGTGTTTGATGGGACAGCATTATGGCCTCCTGGGTTCTGTGTGCATCACAGGACAGTTTACACCAGTCAATTCTTTGCACAGCCTTTCTTAGCTTATTGCTAGTGTAGCAGTTTATGCATTTGCCCACTCAAGTGTTTTAGGCTGTTGGAGCTGAATTAATTATACACAAGAAAGACATGGGGGTACTGCCTTTTCCTTTTTCCCTCCCTTTCTTGGTAGGGAGTTCGAATACTAGAAACCAGTCCAAGCACTCTGGGAGAAAACAGCAGAGAAGTATTACTGGAGACTACCACACCCTTTGCGTTTCTTTCCCTTCATAGACAGGATCACTGTGCTGTTGGGACAGTGGAGGGCTATGTCTGCCCAGGAAAGGTGGGCCCAAGGGATGCATTTTGCCACCACAGTAGTTTTTTGTCATGAGTCCCAGTTTGATAAAATCAGTTTTGCTTATGCTCTTGAGAAGCTTTGAGCTGGCTGTGTGTGTAAGAGCTAAACTTTAGCTGCATACTTTTGAAGTGAGTAGTTTTTAGATTGCATAAAAATTTGCATTTTCTATTTTTAAATATGAAGAGCTTTTGTATTTTCAAGGCAGATCAAATAATTTGAAGCAAGATTATATTAGACTTGAAAAGTGACAAAGATTATATTAGACTGGAAAAGTGACAAACATTTAATTTATAACAAGGCGAATTCTCTGTGTGGCAAATGTTAGTTATCTGCAGTAACATCCACAAGACAATGATCCTTGGTTATGTGGTTTTAATTCTTTTCACTGCCTATTGCATGTCCATGCCATGTCATTGATCACTGAATAAGATGTGTCAGGATAACTGTCCAAAGCTGGCTCTAAAGATTTTTGAAACTTTTTGAGTTAAGAGTTACTCATGATACTGACTCTCCTCTTTGAAGGATCCTGTTTCAGTGAGACAATCTCAGTGTTTGGCAGCTCACTGCCAGCTGTTTTCCATTACCCATGTGGTACAAAGAAAATGTAGGATACCATCTCTAAATGTTCTTTCATCATTGTATTTATTTTCCATCCCCATGGGAAACTGTGCAAGAAAATAGTACTTGTTCTGATGTGAAATCACTGCCAGTAGTTTAAAAGCAATAAGACTCATAAAAAGGTTAAGTTTATCTGATTAAGGCAATTCACATTTAACACCCTCCCCACACCCTTTATAAAGGACCTGGGTAATTCCTCATTAGTGTTACTTGTGTTGATGGATAACTCTACAAAATTACTTTAGATAGGTAAATGGAACGCAAGATACAAGCCACGTCCTAGTTTGTGACTGTGTGACACCCTTCCAGTTGGGTGCAGTTCTGTAGTTAGTATGCTATTGATGTGAAGGATACAAAGGGTAAAAGGTACAAACTGTCACTGCTGCTATTCTGTTCCTTCCCAGCTCTCGCAGTTAGAAGCCTGATGGACAAAAATGAGTGGAACCTTGTTCATGCTGGCCACTGCAACTGAAAGTGTTTAGGTCTTGAACAGGGTTCAAATTAACTCCAAATTGAGTGCATACATTTGTTGTCTCCTCGTGAGTTAAGTATCTGTAACTCCATTATAGTTGAGATGATACAGTCATTGGGACTCTGCAATACAGTCTTGTTTGCCTCAGCAGAGATGGATAAGGCAGGATTCTGTGACCTGAACTTAGACTCTTATCTCTCATTTTAAAAATGCTGTGAGATGTTCTGCCTGACTGCTTCTTCTGCTCTGGGTAGGTGGGATTGTCTCATCAACCTTGTGTCATACAGGTCATGCAGGCACGTTCAATATGCTCGAGTATTTCAAATGACATGAACAGCCAGTATAATTGAACCTCACCCCTAGCAACTGGTTTGTCCAGCAGCTTTTGTGGTTTCCCCTTTTGTGTGTGTAGACTAGGTCTCCACTAGCAGTAGTGGAAGCATAGGCAATGTGGATTCACACAGATACTGGAATGTCGGTGCTTGATTTGGTCACCTAACCGGAAGCATTTGTCTCCGTTAGCTATGTGCTCACTTGTCCTGCTTTGCTCCAGCCACTAGTCCAAGAATGCATCAGTTCAGACTCCATAGGTCGCTTGTGGTTATTTGTCAGGCCTGTGCAGATGTCTTCAAACATCTGTAGGATATCTTAAGTTGTGTTAGAAGTATGCATTTAAGCAACAATATTGAACTTTAAATGATTTAAATTTGAAATTTAATTCAACCTTTTCATACAGTTTCAGAGAACTGTGTTTTTAATACCTGGTGCAAATTCAGAGCAAGTTGGATTAAATTGCACTTGAATTTTCCTTAGTTATGGAAAAGGATTAGGGACACAGCTTACTTGGTTCTCTGTATCTGGTGGTAGATTTTATGTACAGTGGCAGTTGTAGAGAGAATTTTCTTTAGTGCTTAAAAATCTAACATTGAATTTCCCACTGTTAGAGATGGTATAAAAAGGTACCTCTAGCTTTAGTTGTATTTCTGTTCAAAAAAACCCCAGAACAACAAAACCACATAAACTCCAAAAACAGAGATATTTTTATTTTTGTCTAGAGGCATTGAACTAATTTTATGAGTGAAAGGCTCTTTCTGATACTCTAGACATGCCATATCAGAAAAAACATACTGGAAAGTTAAAAGTTAAACTAAAAATATTATTTATTTACTGTTACTTTTCCAATTTCTGTTATTTACTTGCTATACATAGCACTAGAGGAGCTAGTCAATCCATGTAGTTGCAGTGCTTCTGGACTCAAGCTTGTATGTCCACGTGGCACTGCACTATATAGCATGGCCTTGCCAGCCCACATCAGTACCAGCACTATGTGTCAAAACACATCCAAATCATAGGAATTTACATGCTGGATTAAATTGTTCTGCAGGCCACATGTTTGACACCTCTTCTTTTGCCAAATAATGTCTTTATTCTTAATGCTAGCACTTTCCCTAGAAGCTTACCGCTATGACATTTATTGCTGTTTATGGCTCCAGTACAACTGTACATTGTGTTGTGTACTGCAAGGCACATAGTTCCAATTATGATTTTCTGAGAAGGATGATTGTCAGTGCCCCCAAAAGCCTCTCAAATCTGCCACTTACATTCTTTTTCAAAAAACGTGTGCTGGGAGATACATGGCAGAGAAAAACTGAGGTTGAGTCATCTATAAAGCAGGTCTGACATGAGGGAACAATCTCATTCTGTTCTAAGTCATTGAACAGTGGTTTGCTGTAATTGTATAGGTTCTGGATGGAGCCAGTCCTCCCTAAACGTTTGGTACTTTGCCCAGTGGCCTGACCCAACCATCAAATGTTTTCTTGGGCTGCCAGTGGAAAAACATGGTGGTTTTGAAGACAAGAGGGAGATTCTACTGCCTGACTTGTGTGCCTCTAGAAAATTATTCAGCCCATATATCTACCTCTTTTTCATGAGATAATAAGGAACCAAAGAGAAATATTAGGTATTACATTCACTTATTTGTCTCTTGAAGATGAGCAAGATGTCAGGAAGAATTGCAGCATCCATGTTTCTGCACAATATTGTAGTCTGCTAGACCTGCAAGGGTTATGAAGCCACTAAGAGTATTCATCCGGGTTCTACTAGGACTAGGTAGAGCACAGACTGGGGATTCTTGAGCCAGTTCCTTGGATTGTGCATTCATTCAGCATTAGACAGTGTATTGCAGCACTTGGATTACAGCATAGGGGTTAGGAGCCTGTGATCCTCTTTCGCCTGTGCAGTGGATTGCCTTAGCACCTGGGCTGCTCAGGCTTGCTCTTCTTTGTCCTCTTTCTGTTCCTGTGAATCTTTCGTGATTTTCTGCAGTGCTCTGGTTTCACATGGAAGGTCCTGCAATATGCAAATGTACTCACTAATCACTCCCTTGTCATTAAGTGCTCTACTGGAAGACAGTGGTAAAATTTTCAGGCACACTATTCAAATAAACATTAATTTCTTAGGATAAGCATTCTGGGTATAATGTAGACAGATAAGTGTTGTCCTAGGAATTCATCAAGAGCAAAGAAATCGGCGAGGTATTTAATTAATATGTATGTCTGAATGTCACAGAAAATAAACAGCCTGCTGTACCCTGCTACACCCTGCCCCCTCCTTTTTTTTTTAATATAAAAGATGTAACTCATTTATGTCTGGGATTTTACTGACAGATAAATTTCAACTTGATTCTGCTTATTCTGCTGGAAATTTTCATGGCAACTACCGTGATCATTTCAGCTAGGTCTACTGAAGACTGCTGTATGAGAAAGAAAGTAGGTATCTTTAAGAATTAAAAATGTCTTTAAAAATGTCTTTCTGGGTTTATTTTTTTTTTTGTGTTAACAAGTATTTGATTTTACTGTATTATATACTTCGACAAGTTACTGGCAACTCCAGTATATACTTCAGATTATGTGGTTAAACTAGATTTGAACAATAAATAAAAGTACTGTACTAAACAGTAATTGTCTCTTCTATCTTTAGCAGTATAATGGGCCCTCTGCAAAATGTCTTGTTGAAATTATATAGCATAGGGTTCTTTGAATATCTTGTGGCATGGCAAATGTTTTATTTCTGTTCTGTAGAACAAAACTTAATACTGTATGAAACATTAGAGTACTGTGACTTGTATCTGTGCAAGCAATGCCTTTTTGAAGCCTGAGGTGGAGATAGTATTCGTCATGTATACCATGGTGAATATTGGCTCAGGGTTTGGAGCAATAGGTAGAAGTTTATTTAGTCACAAGTGCTCTCCCAAATTCCACCCTCATTTTTCCACAGCAGTAGTTCTTTTAGGTAATAATGAAGCAAATGTGCCATGTCATTTTGTGTTTGAGTGGAAACATTGCTTGCTAGATGTCTAGTGTCCTGATCTCCTTCAGTTACTACTTAACCACATCAGTAAAATCTGAAGGCTCAGGAAGAAAGTATGTGTACTGAAGGTGGAAAATGGAGACAAGATGACAATATTTGATTGTTGAGTGGTGGTTGTATAACAGCTTATCTGGGACTACCTTATTTATTTTAATGTGACTGATGTGGTCTGTCACTGGTGATCACCATGGTGTGTCACTGTCAGCTCTCATGGGCCAACCAGACATTGCATGCCACTGTTAGGGACTATAACAGGTTCTACGGGATATTAGAAAGAAATGTATTGCTTTGTGTATTTTTTGATAATGATTTTTTATTCCCCTCTAGAATACTGCATATGACAGTACAGTCGTTTTGAGCAATGTCAGCTTTCCTACTCGAATTCTGAAGTCATACTCAGTAAGAAAAGTGTTTTCTTTCACTAAGTCATTTGTTCTTTCATCTTTCTAAGTGCTAAGCTGCTTTAAAGCCATAAAAAAAAAAAAGTGTAAGATTTTTAAAGTAAGAATAAGGACAGAAATGAGAGCTGTATCTTAAAATGTTCCCTTTTAGAATATTACAAAATAAACCTATCTGCCATGTGTAATAGGAAGGAAACAACTTAATGACTTAAGGATAAATAGTATAAATGGAGCTGATATTCAGTGGAGCTAATAAATGAGAGTATAATTACGTATAATGAAGCTGATCTTATTTTCACTTAAGTCAGGTGGAGTTTTGCCATATTTTATATACAAAGAACACTGACTTCGTGTACAGCTAATATCGCAAATGCATTTTGTGCTTCCAGTGAGTTCCTTTCTATATGCAAATAGGGAATTTGGTCTTCAAATGCACTTATAATAATTTGTGTGCTCTTCTTTGATTTAGGTTATTGAGGTGATTATAGGAATTTCATCAGTATTTGGTGGAATAATTGCTTTGAATATGGATGTTCTAGTCTCAGGTCCATATCTTTCAGTAACATTCTTTTGGATCTTAGTTGCTGTAAGTAGTGCAAAATGAAGGTACTCTTTTAAAACAATGTCTTTGACTTTTTTTTCTTTTTCCCTTTCTCTACTGGAATATTTATTTGGCCCTAATGGTAATTGGCAATTGCTGCTTGCCAAATGAATTAGTGCTTCAGTATACTTAATGTATTTATGCAATATGCTTGTTCTATTTTGATTTACAATAATTTGGTTCTTATAAAATATTCTGATACAGTCCTCAGTTCAGTAAAATAGAAATGAGTAGCATAACAAGGATGTTAGAAGTGAAGTATATACAAATCCTAGGTTTTAGAATGTTTCAGGCTGTAAAATAAAATTGAGTGTAGTTTCAACATGGTAGAATCCTTAGAACATTGTCTTTAGCCTGTCAGCCTTAACTGTCTTAAAAGCCTGAGACTGTGATTGCTAACCATTGTCACTAATAATAGCCTGTACGTAGGAGCAGTGGATTCTAACAGACGCTGTGCTGCCCTGCTTGCCAGATATTGAACCAGTTGAGGAGGAAGACAATGAACATTAGATTGATGTATGGCTCTTATGTCTGGAAAATCCCTCAGCATGAAGTAGAAAAGATAAAAAAGAGATTTTTCAGCATTCAGAATTAGCAAAATTCAGTATGGTTCATTAGGTTTTTATGTAGAAGTGTCAGGTATTGAGGATAATCATATTTCAGTATGTGTAGGTTTAATACGTGGTGCTCATTAAATAAAAGTTAAGTGAAGATTAGTTTTATCTTCGACTAATTGTTTTCTAATACCGTCATAATGAGTCTATATAGTTTTACCTTTTCAGGAAATGTAGGATGTGTTTTATGACTGGTGGGAATCACTGTAACGCAATTGTAATTTTTGCAGTTGTCAAATATGTAAATATTTGTAATGCTTTTTTGTTAGTGCTTTCCAAGTGCTATTGCAAGTCATGTAGCTGCAGAATACCCAAGTAAATGTCTGGTAAGTGTGTAACATCCTTGGATTTTGTCATTAGAGTGGAATAATGCTCAGAAAGTTTGCCTGTGATAAGTGGGCATTACTCATATTTGCTCACTTGTTATTAGTTACTTATTCAAAAAGTGACAGAAATAGGTAGCATGAACGTAAGCGGATATTCCTGAAAAGAAATCCAGTATGTCTTTTTGAGACTTATTTCCACCAATTCTAGAAAATAATTCAAAGGACTGTTGTTTTTAGTTGGTTTTTTTCTTTTTTTTTTTTTTAACTGGCTCCTTGGGAATGAATACTACGATAGGAAGGCAACATACCGTATACTATGGCCAGAACTGCTTTCATGCTGCTGAGTTGAGGTCCTTTCAGTTCCATTCTCCTTTCATTATGAGCTGTGGTTTCTGAAAGAAGAAAATGAGGTGTGCAGGCTTCTCTGAACCTAGAACATATTTTAAAACAAGTTCCTCACCTGCAGGTCTAGCGACAAGGACTAACAATGTTCAGTGGAGTGCATTTATTCTGTGACTGTCCCAGATGTGTAGTTAGGCCTCCTTAAAACATCAATTGCAAGTAATAGTCATGCAACCATATTTAATTCAATAATTATGCATGACCACAACTGAAGTGAGAATTTGACCATGTAGGGATGATGTTTGAATGAAAACTCTGCTGCTATTGTATGGCAATACAATATTTGCCTCAAAGCACTCAAACTTATTTACATAGTTATTTTAAGTTGTAAATCTGCAATATCTGCTGTTAAGTCTCATTATTGCATACAAACTGAATGATGTTTCTACGCTGGCCCTCTAAATTGGGTATTGCTTCTTCTGTCTGCACATAAAAGATACTTTTAAAATCAAACAAAAACCCCATCATCCATATTAAATGGAAAATGAATTACAAAACAACAGTGTTTTGACTAGGAAACAATGTATTCAAAACTTGCTTCTGTATCACCACGCAGTGTGGATGGCTTTTACAATTAGTCTCGTATGTGTAATCTTATGCACGTTTACACACTTCTGTTATGCTTACTTCAAGGAGATACAGCTTACAAACCAAAATGTTAACTTGTTTTTATTCTTAACATTTATTACCTTATTTTTTAGGTTGAGGTCCTGATTGCCATTAGCAGTGTTACCTCTCCATTGTTGTTTACTGCTTCTGCATACTTATCCTTCAGTATCATGCAAGTTGTTGACATCTTTAAGAATTATCCACCTGCTGTCAAAGTATGTATTTTTATGCAATTGAAAAATTAACATCTATCTATTACAGTAGCAACACAAGAGTGAATTAGGAAGTATAAGGAAACAAGGTACCGCATTATAAAGATTGATAAAATGTTATAGAAATTATTCAAAGCTCTTACTTAATGGTAAAATTTTATGTATGTTAAGTCTTTTGCCCCTACCTTCCCCCCTCCCCCCTGAATTACAGCGTTAAAAAAATGGGATATTATTCTAAAGAATCAGTTAAAAAAAAAAAAAAGTAATATGCTGGACTCCTTGAGGTTTTTATGAATTCAGAGTATATAAATTACAGATTCTGAGTTCACTTGAGAAATATATTTTTCCTGTTTCTTAGGACGTCTACCAACAGTTGGGATTGTCAGTTTATACCTGAATTCATTCAAAGCCTGGATTGGGGCAGAGAAGAAAAAAAAGTTTGCAAATCTTAAAACTTATGAAGTGTTACCTATGCATTGCTGAAGAGCTTTTTAGGGCTTTATCATCGAAGTATTTAGCAAAACACTTTGCTAATGATGGCCAAAGGAGCATTTATGGGGGTTAAAATGGTGTCAATAAGAGTCTTGACTCATAGTACCCACTAGTCCTTAAGTAGTCTCATAATTTTAGGAGCGAGAAAATGTTTATTAAACTAAGATCTTAGGGACTGGAAAACGAGCTTTTGAGTGATCCTGTTCTGTTACTGGAGGAGCATAACGTGTTGTTGGACCTCAGGAAGTGGCCATAATTTACATGTTCTTTCTAAGCAGCTTCTCCTGTTGCACATGTTGGAGACAGAAGACTGGACAGTTGGTGTGACCCTGTAGAGCATTTCTTACATTCTTAGGCTACTTCTTGTCTGAATGCAGCCAGAGTGGGCTGCTCTACAAAGGAGGGTGAACAGTGGACCAGAAGGTGACAGCAAGGGAGACAAGGGCAGTGATCTCATTGCAAGGAGTGCAGTCCTACAGTACCCGAAAAAGAAAAACAAGGCAGGTCGGGACATGGCAACCTGGTTCAGCCAATAGTTCAGTGATTGCCAGACAAGTCCATAGTACTGCAGCAGATCCAAGGTCAGCCAGGAATTCAGGTCAGCAGGGTAAGGTCAGAGCCAGCAAGGCACAGGGCCAGCTGTGACATTGGTCAAGACAGAATGAGCAGCGAGGCTCTATATTTTAGAGGATAGTTTCCTCAGTTCTCTTCTGTTTCTAGAGGAAAAGACCACTTGTCAAATTAACATTTTGCTAAAAATTATTGATCTGTTCTACTTTGAGCAAACTCAGGCCTTCAAATTTTAATTGAAGCTTCATTCTGAAATAAGCTGTAAATTATAATTCAAGTTAAAAAATGAAATCTAGATACAAATCCCAAGAATATGGAGCAGAAAATATTTTACTCAAGTAGTTAACAACATATTCTTATCTGTTTGCAGCAATCGTATGATGTACTCCTGTTGCTTCTTATGTTGATGCTGCTAATTCAGGCATGCCTTACTATTGGAACTGTAATACAGTGCGTAAATTACAAGACAAAAATGAAACTACATGATTCATCATGGACAGCATCACAGGTTAAAAAACAGGAATTCAGAACAACAGAGGTATGTATCTATACCCATTATAAAATCTAAAAATCTGTATGGTGTTTTTTTGTAATGTTTTGTGTTGCTTAATTCAGATCACACTGAAAAGCTGGTCTGTAAGACTGAAAATGTTAATGCACTGGTGAATTTTGTAATAAAGAGGGAATATTTTGCTGGTTAAGTGGTAACTGGGGCATGACAGGCACAATAGCTGTAAATGTGTGACAAGTCCTGTTAAAATTAAAACAGCTGTAAGGTTAAAACTCCGTTTTGTTCTTATTTGTGGTATGAGCTCTCACTTAGAGACGATGCTCATCATTGTACTGAGATAAAATGATAGTCCTACTCCACAGATCTATAATGGCTATTTATATGTCAGAATGAAGTTACAAAAAAGATGATGGCCTTGTGTGACCATGTTCTGATAATGAGATAGCCATCTATTAAGAAAGGAATGTAAATATGAGCAGAAATTTTGGGCTATGGAATGAGAGCACTCAATGAAGTCATACTTTTCCAAGGCCTGCTGTGGGCATGTGAATTTACTAAGCCAAGTTAGTGCTCTCAAGTTCCCTAAACTTCAAATGGGAAGAGTTAGGAACCTGGAGAATGGGAACAGCAGTGGGCAAACTGAATGAGTGTCTGCCTGTGCTGGACAGTGTGAAGTAGTGTCCAGAGAAGCATGCCTGGAATCCCAGGTCTCAAGATCAGAATTGGTACTTCCTTCCACTTCCCTCCTGCATTTACATGTTCAAGCAAGCCTTTCAGATACAGATATGGCAAATACTTTTTTAGAGCATGGTGGTGCCAGTATTACTGTTACCACTTTTCATTTGGGGCTAGAGTGCTATTTCAGGGAAGGCGAGGAACTACATCTACCTCCTAGCACAGCACTGCAGCCCTTAGGCTTTCCTCACCTCTGCTGTATGGAGCAAAGCGCCATATCCTTCAAGACTAGGGGAGAGTAACTCAAGTTAGCTGGATGCTTACTGCATGGCCCAGCACTAGAGAGTGTGCTGGATTCAGTCCCTGTGCTGGAAAGAGCATCTGCCTTGAAACAGCACTGGATAGAAAGCATTGGGAACAGGGACTGAAATTCAGTCATGTCATTACACAGCTGGTAATGGAAAGTGGAAGCTGTGGATTTGTGTCCTGTCAGGTTGCTGAGACCATTCAGTACAGCTTGCCTATGTTCTGGATCTGTGTCCTGAGAGTTACGTTCTGTATGAAAGATGAAGCACTGCTGCAAGTCACAGTTTGGAATGTAGGGCATGGCACAGCTAAATAGATTTATTTGGGGGATTATATCTGTAACTATTCCTAGTCTGTGGGTCATTGAGAACTTGGGTGTGAGTTAAATGCTAAAAGGAGCACTTTGTCCAGAAAAGCAACACCTTTTTGCTTACCTTTTAGTATTTAAACATGTGAATAATGTTACAGGTGAAGTTGTTAGTCCTGCTGCCTTCTCAGGAGCCTGCGTTCTTAGGCAAGACCTTAGCATGCTTGAATGTATGTAGGTAAATCTTTCTTCAGTTGCACTATAGGGACTACTTCTGACTTTGGGTTTAGAGATCTAGGTGCTAGTGCTTTCAGTCACATTTTGGCAAAAAACTTGAAAAAATGGCTCAAGTTACATGTTTAAAATAGGAATTTGGAAGTCTCAAGTATAATGCAATTTACATTATTAAATTTTGTATCATAAATGTATGCTATGTACTATACAAAACTATGCAGTTTACAATGCATAGAATAATCTAACAGCTCTGTAACTATTCATGTTTACATTCCCCTGGCTTCTCTCATGTATGTATTTGCTTGAACTTTGGTTTTTAACCAAAACACTGTTTCATGTTTCCATTTGTCTGAAATGTGTTTACTTTCAGGTTTCCAGTAATACCTTAAAGGATTTTGATAAAGACAAAGCCTGGAAAGCAGTTGTGGTGCAGATGGCTCAGTAGTTTGGATTCGGCAAACACAGACTATATAGTACAATCCAATACAGTAAATCAACTGTTTGAATTAAGGCTTAAAAACTTTCCAGTATGTTATCAGCAATATAGTTACAGCAGTAGAAACCAAGGAATAATACAGTAAATAATATGTCTCTCTAATAATTTTGAAATATGTTGGTAATACGTTTAACACATCTGTCTTCTGTTGGTATCTGTATGCTAGTGTTGCTTTAGAAGATACCTTTAGAAAAAAGGTAATGAGTCATGGATTTATGCTGATGGCAAAGTAAAATATGGCAATAGATAGTAGGCTTCATACGTTTGCAAGAGATTGTTATAACTGCAGTTATGCAGTCAGTGTAACTGATAAATGCTTTTGTAAAGTTATGAGTACAAGTGATTGATATTTTTGCTTATACTTCACTTTTGTAGGAGTTGTAAAGTTGTTTTGCATCTCATTGCTTTTATATAAATAAAAGTATTATGTGGAAATTCAAGACTGTGGGTTGACATTTGAATTGGAGAGGTGAAAGCAGAATATTTTTTCCCATTAAGCTTCCATTTCTGGACTGTTAAAGGGGGAAGGGGCTTTTACTGAAAGCACAAGCACAGTATCCACTAGCCAAAAAACACCCAGAAAAACAAATAGAAGCAATCAGCCAAATAACAGGAGATAATACTGATATTGAAAGAGTATTTTCGTGTATGAAAATGTATTTTTTGTTAGTTACTTTTCATTTGTTTTCCAAACTACTTGTAAAACTTACATAACCTAACTGCCCTTAGACAAGGGATATCCCCCATTCAGACTGCATTTTCCTCCTAGTTGAATTATATGTATGATCATGTAGATTTCAAGTGCTATAGAAATTTCTATGTTAATAGGCTTTTTGGTGTAACTAGGGAGATGGCTGCTGACAAGGTGGTGTTTTTTTTCATTGTTTTTCTGTTGTTATTATTATATTGATGGGTTATGAGAGATTCTAGACATTGACATTCATTATTTTTTAACTAACCCAAATAATTTTTCAGAGCATGCTGCAGAGCTTACCTCTTTGCTTTTAGGGAGGGGAAACAGAGAGAAAGGTATGTGCAGTGCAGAGCCCTTCAGGTACACTAACATGTTTCTTTTGGTTTTGGGAAAGCTGACAATTATTATGACATTTTAATATATAGAGAATACTATGTATTATGCAGGCTTCTTTAAAGTATGTATACCATTCCCCTCCAGCAGCTGAAAGGGGAGATTTTTACAAGGCGGATGAGCTGATCTGACTCAATGCTGAAAGGGGTTGTCTCTGACCTCTTCCCTTGTGCTAGCCGTGGCTGCTATCTGATTAAACTTGCAGAAAATTTATCAATAAAAACTGCTGATTTAGCCAGTTTAGCACACTGCAAAATAGTGGCCCTCTTTACAATTTTGGATGTGACTTCATACCAACTGGAGGTAGAATTGGACTTCTACCTCACTGAGGTAGATCAACAGTGTATTTGTCTTTTGTTAGTACTTCCTTTCTTGCTTTCCGTCATATTCCTTGCCTATGTTTTGCCTTGGTCATATGCCTCTTCCCTGTTTCAAAAAGTAGACTTTGTACATGGTATTACCAGGACTTACAACTTTAGACTGACCATGTAATCAGTTGGTTTGTGTGTAGATCACTGTCAATTATAGCTGGAGTTAGGTGTTTCTGAAATAAAAACTTTCATGTTTTGTGATCTAGGTCTTGTGTTTGTGAAGAGAATCCATGAGATGAAAATAATGAACTCAAAATTACTTTCAGAAACTGGAGTAGTCAGTCTTCCCTGGCAACCCAGTGAGATTATAATGATTTCCTGTGGTTTTTTTTTTCAAATGTTAGAAGTACTTTTGTTTGTTACTGAGTGGGAAGTCCCTCAGGGAGAAACTGATAGAAGAAAATGTTAGTATCATCCATTTTATAAATATAATTTATAAATATA